GGCCCACACGGTTTCAGGGATAGAAGGTCTTTGTTGCAGCTCAGTTTCTCATACGGACCGCTTGCAGTGGGGGAGTCACTGAGACAGCTAAGAGCTGCATCCCAAATTCTTACCCTTCCCTTTCTCTTTCAAAGACTTGGTTACCCATTATTATGTAGAAGATTGAAAACGAACAGCTTAATTTATTCAGTCACTCTCATAATTTTATTGTAAAATTCATCAGAACTTTGAAACTCTTAGAGAAACACTATGGGCTACTAGACACCACAACGAAATAACAGTCAATCCCACTAAGTTTTTTCAAAATAAAAAATGAACTTATAAATTTGTTTATGTAACAAAACCATTTTAAACATTTTTTTTTTTTATGGTTAACACTCTCAAAAATTTTTATTCTTAATTAACATTTTTCATAATTTAAAATCTAAAAAAAAACCTAAAAACTAAGGATCAAACTCTTTATTAGCACTTTGATTTTGTTAGCAATTTAAGATTTTTTATTAGTTTTAAATTATTAAAGGTGTTAATTGAATGTGAAAATTATAAAAGATATTGACTGAAAAAAAAATACAAGGTGTAAATAAAAAATTTGACTTTTTCAAGAGTGGGATGACAATAATTATCATATCAAGTCTATAGAAAGTCTTCATTTCACCGGTTGGAATTAGGTTTGTGTTTTACTGCGTGCTTTCTACAAAAGAAAAATATGATGGAGATACAAAGTATTTAGCAAGAGCACTGTATTACAGTTGGGAATGTTAACGTTCAATCTTTCCACATTCAGCATGTTGTGTGCTATATAACTCGTTCCTTAGGATATATATTAAATAAAGAATTTCGGGGTTTTGCCGAGTTTACCAAGAATCAGTTATGGTCCTAGTTTGAGCAGAATCATATACAATAACTAATGAGTAACTATAATTTCAATTTTTCAAGAATATAAAATTATAATTTTTTCAATTACTTAACAAAAGTAAGTATAAATATAAAAGGAATACAAAAATAAAAAGTTAAGAACCTACCCTAGTCAGTGCTCCTCACTTTAAAATAAATTAACTAAAACCTAATACAAAAAGAATTAAATTATAATAAAATAACTGTAATTCCAACTTTTCAAGAGTATAAAATTATAATTTTTTTCCAATCACTTAACAAAATTAACTATAAATATAAAGAGAATAGCAAGACAAAAAGTCAAGAACATACTCTACTGCCCTTTGCTTTGAATTAAATTAACGAAAAAAAGAGAGGCAAAGAAAAAAAAATGTCTTCTTAGGGACCACTCACCGACCAGGCGACCACATACTAATAAATTGATAAAAAAAAACTCTAAAAAATTAAATACTTTTGAATTTTAACTTAAATGCCTTTCACTTTTCTAACTTTCCAAATTGTCTACTCTCTCCTCTACCATTCTCCTTTAATCTACTGGGCTGTCTGGGCGTACTCCGAGTTAGATGGGAGAAGAATTAGGAGTTTTCTTTTTTTCTTTTTTTTTTTCTTGTTCTGCCGTGCTCCTCTTTTCTTTCGAAATCTGCTCTGCTTTTTTAAAAGGGATAAAGAAGACTGGGGTTTTTTATGGTTGGGTTTGGGTTTTGATGGGCACTTGGTTTATGGGCTGGTTTATAAAATTGGGTTGAGAGTTGAATTAAATGATTAGTGGGCTAGATTTGTTGGTTTTTTTTTTCTTTCTTGATGAATTGCACCCTTAACTTTTAATTTCTTCACAAATTTTCAAAGTTTTCTTCACAAATTTCCAAAGTTTAGAGGGGGCTAGGTAATTTTTCATTTATTAATGTACAGGATTTTCAAATTTCAGGGGGGTGAGCACCCCTCCTCACCCCCCCCTTCCCTCTGCCACTGCACACACACACACGTATATATATATATATAAAACATGAATTTTAGTATTATTAACTTAAGTTAAAGGTACTGGTGGTACTACTAATTAAAGTTCATAGACTTAACAAGGTGCTGTAATCATTTTTTCTTTAAAAAAAAATAGAGAAATGAGGTTAATTTGTGATAAAAGATGTTGTTTAACAAAATGGAAAATGTTTGATGTGTTTTAGCAAAGAAAAAAAAGATGTTGTTTAACAAAATGGAAAATGTTTGTTGTGTTTTAGCAGAGAAAAAAGGGATGCCTGATGCAGTGAAAAGAAAAGAAAGAACAAGGTGGAAGTAAAGTGAAGAGGTGACATACTGACATGTATGGTTTTAATGAACGGGAGACCCGGCGGGCTCTCCACAAATTTTTATCGGCCCAAGAGAAGATCAAACTGGCCCACCTCCACATTTTGCCTGGATCACGTGACCCACATTACCTTCCACGTCTGCTCCATATTTTCTACGACCAATTTCTCCACAATATGTCGCCAGAAAAAGCAAAAATCCAAATACTTAAAAAAAATAATAATAAATGCATATTTATTTAATGCATAGAGTAACATTATATATATAGATAGTCCGAGTGAAGTATTTTAGATTTATTTCCTAATATTATTATTAAATTTATGTTATGATGATTCTTAGTATTTTAGATTTATTTCTTATTACTAATATTATTAGTAAAGTTATGTTCGAATAATTCTTGCTCATAGTATTTTAGATATTTTTTGCCATTACATTAATTCATAGTTAATAACGCTAGGTATTTATTTGAAAATTTTAAATTCAACAGGGATTTATTGATGATTTTTTTATAAATCATTTATCTTAAAAATTTTAAGCTCATTTGGTATTTTTATTGATAATTTTTTTAAAACTGATTGAGTATTTATTTAGGAATTTTAAGAATAATTTTATTGTTACAGTAATTTTATATATAGTTAAAATATATAAT